CAGTACTGGTGAAAGCAAAGGCCTCCATCCTTGCCCGCAGCCAGAGCTAAATTAAATTTCTCGATGCTTTTCATGCCTATTTACAGTCAGAGAGGATGACAACGTTGATTGGCTCATAGATTTAGCCTCTGTGCATTTTGATTGGTCAGCCAAAGCTCACTGATGATTGGCTACTTTCGATCCTATCATTCTCAAAAATGCAAGTTGTGTTTGTTTTAGCACATAAACTTACTTAAAACCTTAAAAAGACTCCGGTTATATTAATAAAAATTACGCATATCAATCCAACTACAGAAATTTTCATCAAAGTACTAATTTTGCATGGTTTCTATCAGAGAAAAGTTCATTAAACATGTAAATGCACTTTAAAATTGAAAGCGTGCAGAACTTTTCACACAGCTGTATGTTACCAGTGAATAAGAGCAATACACATAGTCCTCAACATATGACACAACTGGACTAATATTTCGGCTGTTAAGCAAGGTGGTTGTAAATGATTTGCACCCAATTTTGTGCTCTTTTTTGCCAGGGTTAAGTGAATCACATGGTGGTTAAGTGAATCTGGCTTCTCTCATTGACTTTGCTTGTTGGAAGCTAGCTGGGAAGGTTGCAAATGACAATCATATGATACCTGGATACTAAAAATGTAATAAATACACGCTAGTTGCCAAGTGCCTGAATTTTAATCATGTGATCATATGGCTGCTGTGATGGTCATAAATGCAAGGACTGGTTGCAAATCACTTTTTCAGTGCTGTTGTAACTTCACTAAACTAATGGTTGAAAGTCAACTACCTACATTTAAGAATGATCAGCCTTTCAGCTAGGACACTTTTTGCTAATCCATTTCCTCAAGGGCAAAAGCATGCAGAACCTACTTCCAAATAGCCAAGCCAACCATAGATACTCATCACATAAGCAGTTTGTTGACAATACTGCTACCCTTCAAAAAGACCTTGACTATATCAGAATGGTCAAACAAATGGCAACTTCAAATCTCAACAAATAAATGCTCTGTCTTACATATTGGCAAAAAATAATAATCAGAAAATAAAATGCAGGCTGAGTAGTCAAGACCTTGTTGATGGTCCAAACTCTGTCAAGGATATTGGAGTACTCATCTCTAATGATCTAAGTGCTAGAGCCCACTGTAACTACATACCCAAAAAGGCGTTAAGAGTTGTTAACCTAATCTTACATAGCTTTTTGTCTGGTAATATTACACTACTAACTAGAGCATACAAAACATTTGCTAGACCAATATTCGAATACAGCTCATCAGTCTGGAACCCACATTATGTATCTGATATTAGCACAGTTGAGAAAGTCCAGAAATATTTCACAAGAAGAGTTCTCCACTCCTCTACTCATTGCAGAATACCTTATGCCACCAGACTTGAAATTCTAGACCTAGAAAATCTAGAACTATGCCGCCTTCGGTCCGATCTAAGTATAGTATATAAAATCATACATTGCAATGTCCTACCTGTCAATGAATACTTCAGCTTCAGCCATAACAATACAAGAGTAAACAATACATACAAACTCAAGGATAATCGCACCAAACTTGATTGCAGGAAATACGACTTCAGCAACAGAGTGGTCAATGTCGGGAATACTCTACTTGACTCTGTGGTTTCTTCCAGTGGTGGGATTCAAATTTGTTTACTACCGGTTCTGTGGGCATGGCCTGATGGGTGTGGCAGGGGAAGAATAATGTAAAATCTCCAGTCAGAGGTGGTATTTGCTGGTTCTCCGAACTACTCAAAATTTCCGCTACCGGTTCTACAGAACTGGTCAGAACCTGCTGAATATCACCTCTGGTTACTTCCCCAAACCCCAAAAACTTTAACCTTAGACTGTCTACTATTGACCTCACCGCTTTCCTAAGAGGTCTGTAGGGGGTGTGCATAAGCGCACCAATGTGCCTACTGTCCCTGTCCTATTGTTTCTTTTATTTTTTTTATTTTTCTTATATGTATCCATGTATTCATAACTATGTTTTTACTTATACCTATTATCTTGTAAGCAATTGGCAAACCAAATAAAATAAATAAAACATTTGAAGTTGCCATTTGTTTGACCATTTTGAAACACAGTCGAGGTCTTTTTGAAGGGTAGCAGTATTGTCTGTGGTGTTGAATAGCTTTACATCATCAGCAAAAAGAATGCAGTTGCTCTTAATATGATCACAGAGGTGATTTATGTAGTGTATGAAGAGAGTTGGTCCTAGAACATTGCCTTGGGGGACACCACTGTTGACAGGTACAGGATTTGATAGGACACTCCCAATTTTGACCATTTGTTGTCTGTTTGAGAGGAATGCTTCTATCCAGTTATGCAGGTGTCCAGAGATACCATAAGATTTTAGTTTTAGGAGTAGTTTGTCATGAACCACTGAATCAAAGGCTTTACAGATGTCTATGTAGATTGCGTCTATTGCTTTGCCCTGATCGAGTTGTGTAGTTCATATGTTTTCGCAGTGTAAGAGTTGTAGATTACAGGATAGTTTTTTCCTGAAACCAAATTGTTTATTAGAGAGTAGGTTGTTTGTCTCTAAGTGGAGGATAATGGATTGGTTAATAATTGATTCCATGACTTTACAGGTGACGCGGCATAAAGAGACTGGTCTGTAATTTTCAACTAGGCTGGGGTCTCCCTTTTTGAAGATGGAGATGACTGTGGCTTGTGACCATAGTTTTGGCAAGGAGCTGGTCCTGAAAGATTTTTCAAAAACTATGCTTAGAGGTTCGGCTATGGCAGTGGATAGCTTTTTACAGAAGTAGGCACATATTCCATCCAGTCCAATAGACAGAGATTTTAGATTTTAAATTGCGTAGTGCTTTTTCAACATTGTCTTCTGTAAAATCAATATGTATTAGATCATTGTAGTTGTCTGTGGTTTGACTAGGAAATACTGTTCTAGTCAACCAAATTGACTAAATTCACGAGCATGTTTTCGCTACCCAGTCCATGTTTATGAAACAATTAGTCATTTAGGACTAAAAGAAATTTTAGAAACAAAGCACAACCATGGCTGACTAAACTCTGTTACAATATTAGTCCTCGGAGATTGCCAAGATTCTGTTTGCATATTTTGAGAAATTATTTAAGCTTATCATTTAAGCTTGATTAAAAAAAGAAGTTTAACCTTAATCCATAGAAACCCTTTCTGGCTTTTTATTGAAAAAAGAGAAAGATGAACTTGTAATTTATGGGTTTGAAGATTAAAAACAGTAGTTTATGGAAAGAAGGAAATTATGAAAAAAACTTAGAGAAGGGATAAAATACAAATGCCTTTATAACCTCTGTTAAAAAGATTGGACACCTCTTTTTCTTGATCTTTTTCTTTTCTTTTCTGTTTCTATTTCTTTTTCTATTTTCTTTTATATATATTCACTATACTTTGTTAAATTCTGTGTTTCTTTCCTAATATTTCCATTCTTTTTATCCTGTTAAAAATTTATACACAAATTTATACTAGAAAAATAGAAAATGTTAATATAATGTGGTTCAACTGTAATTGATGGTGCTGTAATTTAAAACATATTACTCCCATTTTTGGGAGTAATATATTTTAAAATATATAATTGCTCCCATTTTAAAAATGATTGGTGATACACCAGAACTTCATTTTTCAAGTTATAGTTTTTACACTCTACATACTTATAGCAAACTGTTTTTTTCTTCAGCATCCCTCCTAACCAAAAATAAGATGGTTTACAAAGATTTAAGAAACCGTTTTTCAGTAGCACTAAAGGTTTTTGTTTTTTTTTTGCATTTTTGCAGTTGGAAAGGTAAGATAGAGTAAGTAAACTGTATTGTTTTGCTTCCATCAGTACATTCTAACAACTTTCAATATTTTACGATTTAAAAATACAGATGACAGAATTTTCCCAACAGCTAGACCAAAAAGTAGTTGTTTATAGCTTTCAGAGCAACAATGTTACATTAAAAATGGCTGGAAGCATTAATGTTATAAATGGATTTTAAGGAAAAGCATTCATTGGACCAAGTGAGAGATGTACAGTGTGGAAATATATATAAAAAAATCTTACAAGGTCTTGGCTTATATAAAATTTCACAAGAATATTTGAAAAAACATTTCCTTTTGTTTATGTTTTAGAAAAACAAAGTATGAGAAACAAAAACAATAATTGTGATTCATATAATGTTCCATTATATTATAGAATAAATTGTACATCTGTATTTTCAAATTCTTAAAGCATCTGTACCCTTGAACCTTCCAGAGATTATTAATAGATATTATTAATAGACATGCAAACCCAATGTTGCTTGATATCACAACATTTCAGTATGGTGACTTCTATGGATACCCATAATTTCCAGTGTATCTTATTTTATGAGAACTCAACAATCAACTTGTTGATGCATGATTAGTGCAGAACAAATGTACGAGAATGTTTTTATTTATAAGAAAACATTTTTCTAAGTCTAACACTGATTCCATACATATTGTCACTGATAAAGTAGTAGCTCTTTTCTGCTGTAGACAAAATTATTCGAGATGTATGCAGGGCCATTGTTGGAATCATATTTACATAAGAGGCAGAATTCTGAGTTGTTGGTACCCTGAAAAGGAAAGACAGATTGGAAAATTTACATCAATAATATTTTTAAGCTTCTAGATAGTGAAGATAAATAAACCTTTCTCAAGTAGCTGGGGAAAAATCAAAAGTAAAGTGAAATAACTGCTTCCTTGATTACTTTGATCAGGAATTGAGAAAAAAATATTTTGATATATGGGCAGATGCTTCTTGGAAAAAAAAAGATTTATAAGAAAAGCAGTGTTATTATTACAGGAGGAAGTGAAAATGAAAAACTGAGATAATATTGCTTGCCAGTTCTAACATAAATCCTTAAATTAATGTATTTGTTTAATCTAATATTAAATCAGTTTGTCTACTGACATACGAACTACACATACTGCTTTGGAGAGATCATTAGTCTAACAATTAACAATTACTTTTTTTAAAAAGGTATCATTATAGTTTGCCCAAATTCTTCAGCACAAGATCAGAAGGTTTTACAGAAAGGACGCCTCTGTTGAAAGTTTCCACTAAAAGCAATGGGTAAGAGTTTTTTTTTTTTTAAAAAATGTGTATTTTACTTGATATTGAGCCCCAGAATATATTATTAATGGCTGAAGTCCTAACTATTTTGAAAGGGGCTCATCCCTATGCTTCTATATCATAAATAACCTAGACATTAGAGAAATAAATGTGAAGTATACCACTTTAAGTTTGTAAAGGAAAGAGTTATAAATTAAATACATAAATAACTATCAACAAAACAATGCTGACATTCTCTTTCTTCTATAATAAGACAACTATAGTAGAATCCTACATCTTATAAAATAATGGGGAACTATGTTCTGGTCATGGATCTACAAAGACATTGATCGACAGTAAAAGTATATAGTCATTTTTGGAAATATATTTATGCTCTTCCTTCTATCTAGCTAGGATATATCAGTTTCCTTGGAGTTATCCTTGGAAAGCAACTCTTCTTCCTCCTAAAATCTAGGATATCCTGAGATTACTTAGGAGGATTCCTGACCTAGAAATACTTTATTTAGCCATTTCCCCAAGAATGACATGGGTGATTTCATGGGATAGACTTCTGGTTGACTGATAACAATCAATAGGCTCTAAATGGAGCTTCCTGTAGACCAGATGTTTGAGTGAACCCAACTTAACTCTTAAATCTAGGAAATATTGTAGCATATTGATTTTCAGTTTATTTTGCTATTTTGCTATGTATCATTTTCTTTTTATGATGGCTTTTAATATGTCTGTACACTGCTCAGAATCACTGGAAATTGGATGGCTATCCAAGGTGAATAAATAAAATAATTGATTACTCAAGCTTAGTAATGAGGTAGTGAAAGAACATCTCTCTGAAACCCCAGAAGTGTAGAATATTTTGATTGAAAATGCTCTAATGCTGAGGTTTCTCCTGTAATGGAAAAATCAGCATTGCTATTTATTGCAAAGGTATAAATAGCACATTAAGTTGTATTCCTCACAGGTTTAAGGACATATCATGTTCACATTAGCACCCTTGATTTCTGCCACTCTTCAGTAGACTTAGCTCCCAATGGGAAAAATTTGAGAAGATCAGGCCATAATTTATACTGATAGCTGTCTCCATGATATTTTATAGGTTAAGATGCACAGATGTTCATAATACAGATTTCATCACAGATGATGACTCTTGGGAAAATAGTTCTGCCGAATTTGAGCAAAGATCTCAGCCAGGAAGTGAAATGACCAGCTTGTCCAGATCTGCTTCCTGCTCGGAAAAATATGAACTATTGGACAATTTTCACGTCAAATTCAATTTATCCAAGATGAGGTACTGTTCTGAGCTTTTTTTTTTTCCTTTTCAGCAAATAAGTAAAGTAACACCCCTGTGCTAGAACTTGCTATTGATTCAAGCAGACCATTCCAATGAGATAGATAATAACATCTAGTCAGATTTATAGCAGTAATACTACAAACTGGTATATAACCTCCTTTATCTCCCTACAAAGTACTTTATGTGAAGGGATGCCCTTTTTATTTTAACAATGTTGTTAAAGTTTAAGTAGGCTTTGGTTGCTGGAAGATTATTGTTTTTATTTCTGTTTAAGTGTTTTTAATTATGCTTTGACTTGTGTTCTCAGTTACATTAGTTTTATAGAGAAAGATGTGTGATAAAATAAAGAATCTAATTATATATTTAGAAATAAGCGCTACAGAGTTTAATGTTGTTGTTTCTCTCTCTCTCAACTCTGCTTAGGCCCTTGTCTGCTTTTGAAAACATGATTTGATTTAAAGAATCCTTTTAATCTATAGGACCAGTAAAATAAAAAACTTGTAAGTTTGCATACCATGCAACTGGTGACTAGTGGGAAAAAAAGATAAATCTAGGGATTTCTGCAATACATGGTCAACTACAAATTCATGCTGTGCCAACTATAACATGTAGAAGTTTTAGTCATGTAGATATGAGTGTATTCCCTCTAAGCTGCTATCTGCTAAGAGGCACCCACAAAAACATATTTCCTGTTACATTGGAAACTACTCAAAGATATTTCTTATTTATTTTTTTTAAACTTGGAACAGAAAGATGTATCCTAATTAATAAGATGAAAGGAAAAGAAATAGATTTATATTTTATTTCCAACTAGGTCTCAAACTCGCAGCCGGGCCATGCCCACCCCCGTTTTAGCGAAGGAGAAAAAAGTCGCGATATGTCACGTGACAATGTGACACTGTGAGTTTGACGTCCCTGATTTAGGATTCCCTGGATGTAGGATTCAAACTTATGTGGTTTTATTCTATGGTTTGTTACATATATTCATGTGAGAAAGAATGTTTTATCATCAGTCAGTTTTTGCTCCTATTTAGCAATCTACTTCTTAGGGCTTTTTTAAAGAAGAGTTCCCCAATTCATAAAACCAGACACATAATTTTATTTCCCACAGATATTTTGGACCAGGTCTGCACTACATTTCTTTGTGCACCGGTCCATAAAAAAGGTATCGGTGCCACTGCTACATGCTCCCCTCCTCCCCAGATGTCTAGGTCAAGGTTCACAGGTCTATCTCTTCACCTGTGTTCACAGGAGGAGGAGGTACCTCATTTAGTCTCTTCATGGCAGGATTTGCTAAAGCCTGTCAGGTGTGTGTGTGTGAGATCTATGTAAGATTTCTGGTGAAAGAAATCCTAGCTTTTGGCAAGCCTTGCTGCTCCACTGGTTTGCCACTCTTGCTATTGGAAATCTGATCCTAATGTTCATTTGAAGCTGGTTCCCTACAGGTTCACCCCATCAGTGCTGGGTCAGGTTGAAGTCCCTTCAATTTCTTCTCTATGTTTGATAACATTGGATTGAAAAAAAAGAAAAGAAGGACTAGGGGAACATGAGAGCAGTCTTCCACTATTTGAGGGGCTGCCACAAAGAAGAGGCAGGGGTGGGATTCAAATTTTTTAACAACTGGTTCTGTGGGTGTGGCTTAGGTGGTGGGTGTGGCTTGGTGGTCATGTGACTGGCTGGGTGTGGCCAACTCAACATCACTCACATCGAGGCACGCATCTCTTCTCCTGGCCTCTCATGACCGTGGGGATGCTGCAACAATCGTAAGTGTGAAAAATGTTGATAAGTCACTTTTTTCAGTGCCATTGTAACTTTGAATGGTCACTCCACACAAGCAAAGTACCAGCAAAAGAGGAAAAAAAAAACCCAGAGAAGTTCCAGAGACAGGAAGTCTAGTCCTGCCAAGACTGTAATAAGAGTTAATTGAGAGGCAGTTTTTGTAAGCAACACCAGAATGTTTCCTTCCTTTCTTACAGGATTAGGCCAGTAATTTCTTCTAACAACCGGTTCTCCAAACTGCTTAGAATGTTAACAACCAGTTCTAGTGAATAGGTGCGAACCTGTAGAATCCCACCCCTGAGAAGAGGGGATTAACTTATTTTCCAAAGTACCAGAAGGCAAGAAAAGAAACAATGGATGGAAATTCATCAAGGAGAGAAGCAACCTGAAATTAAGGAGAGACTTCCATACAATGAGAACAATTAACCAGTGGAACAGCTTGCCTTCAGATGTTGTGGGTGCTTCATCACTGAAGGTTTTTAAGAAGAGACTGGATAATGACTTGTCTGAAATGGCATAGGATCTCCTGCTTGAACAGGGTGTTGGAGTAGAAGACCTCCAAGGGCTCTTCCAACTCTGTTATTTCCTATTATGTTTTAATAATTCAATTAATCATTGATCATTTTATTTAAAACCAATTACCCACTTAGCACCCCACCCCACCCCACCCACAGATGCCCACATATGCACATATCATTTGTTATTACAGACATAACAAAATACCATAGCATTTAATAAAATATTTTATTTCAGCAAAAATACAGCAAATGGCAATATATATTTCTTGCAGATCATTAGTTATTTTGGTTCATTGCCTAGTGCAGCCATGCATTTAGGTTAGGGATGTGGAAATCATTAAATACCCTGTGAGCTTTGCTGTCATCCTAACTCATAATATATTAAAAGTGTTCGTAGGCAGAAGGGCACAACTACAGTTGTATAAACTTGGAACAGTTTTATGAAAAAGTCTTAGTGAGGCGTGGCAATCTGTTCAGAAATGCACATTTCACATAGTAGACTCTTTGAAGCAACCCATCCATATTTATGCTCTGAGATAATAAAGGAATAAAAGAAGAATGTATTATTGTTGGTACTGATGTACTGACTAGTTGGAGCCAGAAAACACAGCAGCAAATATTCTCTGTTCTTAATTACTGCCACATACAACAGCTCAGCTGGCAGCAAGAAGATAGATATAAATTCTAGAAATCACGCCTATTATTTTTCTTCTGCACTCTTCCTTCCTTCCTGACCTTCCCTGTTCTATTTTAATTATGAATATAGGAATACATTAAAAGCTGCTCAGCTTTTCTTTGTTTTGTATCATTGCTGTGTAAGCACAGCCCAATATAATTGCCCTGGTTATGCAGAACAGTTGGCAGCCAGTCCTTCATTGTATCCCCGGTGCTGTAGCAGACACACAGTCTTGATAAATTGTTCCCCGAAATACTTTCATGCAGCCCTGTTGAATAAACATGCTGGAGTTTCCAGACGCTGAGGTGGCCTAAATCTGCATAGTTACAGTGAAATAGCTGTGCTATGTGTGATGCAGATCTGAAAAGAAAAAAAAAACCTCATTTTTTTGGGCAGTCATCAACACGATAGGCAAAAAATAACTCCAAACAAAGGAAGTGGCAAAGGTAAAATTTCAATACAATGAATTCTAGGGTAGCTATTTGGATGGCAATTGTTTATAAGACCAAGCTTCATTATGGCTAATTCAACTCATCAGAGCATTTATCTAACATGTTAAAGGGTTGCTTGTCAGTGAGAAGAATACTCTTAAGTATTATAGCTGATTAACAAGTTCCTATTTTCTGATTACTTAGTTGAGTTTATTATTTTAAGGGTGTGCTTTTCTGGACATCTAAATGATTAGTTTAATGTTTCCTGCTTGTTATGGCTATTATGGACAGTCTGTTTCTAGACATCATATTTTAAATTTAAATCTTAGTTCAAAAGGTTAAAGCTTCTCTTTGGTCTATGTCTTAATTGGTTGATGATGGAAATAAAGAGACTTGACTTGTAACACACATAATTATTACATTTGTAAAATGAGTGCCTTAAATGTGTAAATTATAATGAGAGTCCTTTTTTATATAAATACTATGCAAGGGGTTTCCTATTACCTTCTTTCAGGATGTTTTTTGACTTCTCCCATCTAGTTCATGGCCCTGTATTCCCTGATAATCTTTCATCCAACTATTAACATTTCGTTTCCGAGCCAGACAAAATTGTGCAGAGGCATTGTCAACTGCAAAAACAAGACATGTCAGATATAATATATGTATTACATGTAGAATAGCCAAATTTCATTTTGTTTCAATCTTTCTCATCAACAGTTAAAAGACAAAATGTAGACAACATTGTATAGTCTACTGCTGTTTACCCTTCCATGATATGGGCAGAAAAAACATGAGTTATTTAGCTAATTAGCAGTTAAATCAAGTGTCTCTACGTGGCATGCTTGTAGTTTTAAGGGGTCTCTGCCCTAATGAGATGGACAGAGCTTACCCATTTGCAAATACTTATTACTGTATGTTTTGACCAATCATGCTACAGAAAATAGTGATGTCCTAACAGTCAATGACTACTTCAGCTTCAACTGCAACAATACAAGAGCACACAACAGATACAAACTTAATGTTAACAGCTCCAAACTTGATTGAAGAAAGTACGACTTCAGCAACAGAGCGGTCAATGCCTGGAATGCACTACCTGACTCTGTGGTTACATCCTCTAACCCCTACTCCTTTAACCTCAAACTATCCACTATTGACCTCACCCCATTCCTAAGAGATCTGTAAGGGGCGTGCATAAATGCACCATCATGCCTCCCATTCCTGTCCTATTCTTCCCATCTAATCGTACTGATTTTCTGTATTCCTACTCATGTTTATACTTATATCTATTATCTTGTAAGAGATTAACAAATCAAATAAATGAATAAAATAGTGATGCTGAAAAAAAAGTAATTTGTGCAGAAAATTAATCCTATGCTAGAAGTGGAGTCAAGTTAAAAGAACACAAAGACACTTTTAGAATTAACAGTTTAGAGCCCCCAATGTCTGTGTCACAGAAGGAAAACCGATAATGCAGAGCCCAATAACTTTGCCTGAAATATTGTCAAGATAAATTAAATGTGTTCTGAGCTTCCAATGATAATTATTTGTTTGGCACTATAAAAGCAAAACAAAGCATTTGTTTCTCACAAAACTGATATTCAGACAAACCCACCCACAAAAGCAAAGCACTCATTGACACCATCCATCCATCTCTCTCTTCTCTGCCAGAAACTCGAACAAAACTCACATCACACATAAATCCAGGCAAAATGTATATTGCATCAGACAGCTCTCCTAATCTCAGGGAAAATATAGCAAAAAGGCAGACAAACTCAGAATCATGCCAACCCCAAGAAAACTAATGCACCCATAAAATCCATGCAAAACACCAATATTTACAACCATATATTCAGAAAAGAGAACTGCATGTAATCTCCCTACTTTCTGTTGGCAAAATCTTCAGTATACAAAAAAAAGCAACAAAACATCTCCTTAAAGCAACAAAATTATCACAGAAAAATCAGCCAAATACCACTTTTGCTTTATGGTCCACTGATTTTTCTAGTACTGAGGTTATTTTTTCCTTCTGATAATTTAATTACATTTTTCTTCCTAAAAATACAGTACCTGCTTCCCTCCACACCTCCTAATGACCAAGTATTGATGCATCGATTTCAACAGAAATTAGCCCACTGGCTTGTCATTCAAGCCTGATTTTATGGGCTGAGAGAAAGTGACTGGTCCAAAGTCACCCAGCTGGCTTTCATGCCTTAAGTAGGATTGGAACTCACAGTCATCTGGTCTCTAGCCTGGTGCCTTAACCGCTGGACCACCTGTCATTTTCATGTTGTAATCTTTAATGAATTTGTTTTTTGGGGAAAGGGAAATAATTTTGAGGTATCACAGTGATCAGTGAAATGCCTGAGTTGAACAGCATGTTCATTGGTACGTATCTCCTTGAGAACTCCATGCAAGATATTGCAGAATGAAAACAAGAAGTATTTTTATTGACACCCATTTGCCTTGCACCGTAACTTAATTTTGTCTCCAGGAAGTTAGAAATGTGAAAGGATTATTTTTGAAAGTTTGAAGAGTTGCAACAAATTATGTTAGATAGTTCTGCATTTAATTGACTGAATCAGTGCATTGAACCTTCTTATACATTTATAGCATAAAACAATTTAAAAATTCATCTGTAGAAATTGTGTAATCTTTGTCTAATCACTCACATTTTCTCAGGTTCTCAAACCCTGTCCCCTTGATGACTTCAGAAGCTTATGGTATTTCCTGGTGTTCTTTGTGAATCTTTCCTCTTATTTTACAGATGCTGCTTAAAATTCCTAAAGGTTTCATGCCTTTTTATCTTTGTAGCTACATGCTCTGTGAGTATTCAATTTTGAAAGTGATACCTATCCCAAACTAAAGCTGATAGTATAAGCAAGACCTACAAAATAGCATTGTGGGATGTTTTATTAATAATTCCTGAGCCTGGCTCCAATTTTGAGGAGATCATTGGGAAAGTGCTTTTCAGATTTTTGTCTCTTTCTATTTCAATATGGAATAATGAAAGAAATGTTACAAATAGCAATAAAGGAGAAAGATTGTTAATAACCTTATTTGCTTTTTTGTTTTTCTTTAATACCTATAGCATTCCCCTGGATGTTCTATTGGAATATAATTTAAAAATAAAAGATTAGAAAGCATAATAGAGAAAAAAAGACAATGTTTCTGCTCTATTGTAAACTCTATTCTCCCCATGCCATTCTGTAATACTAAGAATACAGCAAAGAGTATATTTTTAAGGCATTGCCTGTGCACTTTTCATGGAAAGGATAGGAAAAGTAGCAGTGGCTGGGCAGCAATGAAGTAGAGTGAGGCCCCCTGGTCTGTAGCCCATTCAGAATGGGGCCCCCTGGTCTGTAGCCCATTCAGAATGGGGCCTTGGAAGAGGTGGGCATTTTAGGGAATAGAATTTAGAATTTAGAAAGCGTTTGTTCTTTGTAGTTGTTTCACCAATGCAAACAACTTTAGGGAGAGTTTATTTAATAACTTGTTAACTGAAATACAATTATTGGATGTATCCCCAGATTTTGTTTAGCATTTATCCTGAAAGCAGGACGTCTTGGCAGATGCTGGCTGTTTCACCTGTGGATGTTTACAGTATCCTTTACCTGTTACCTTTTTGGAAAACACAACAGGAGAATAGTGTAGAGTGTGGACCCAAGTTGCTGACAATAGGCCAATTCAAAAACTTGTTTGATATTTAATGGCTTTTATTTTGTTTGCTAAATTAAATATTGAGAATTATTTCTTTTTTTAGAGATCCTGATAGTAAATACTTCACTGATTTTAAAACCAATATATTTGCAAATCTGTTTTCTAAGATCATGATCCAAATGGTATTGAAGATCTGATGTCATATCTCCTTTAGATGCTCCCTGAAACGTTTCTTTCGGAAATATAACCATCAAAGAATGCCCAATACCTTTGGATGAAAGCAAATGTTCAGTTTTAAATTACAATGTACTTTGTGCTTTATATAGCATAACTGTTAATAGTATAACTGTCATCCAGCAATGGTGCATGAAATGTAAGATGTCCAGAAACATTGTGGACCACTCTATGGCATTTCTACCTGTTCTCTTCCAAGTGCATTTTCGGACTACAAGTTCCATATTTCTATCAGAACATCGGATTGGGATACTATATCTAGGAGGCAACAGATTGAGAAAGACTTTCAGAGAAATACAATAACTAGTGATCCATGTTAAGGGTCAGATAGGGTCAGATGCTACATAGGGTCAGATGCTATAAAAAGCATGCTTGGCATAGCATTCTATTGACCTGTGATGGATGCTTTTTCATTATTTATTGATTTGGCTTTGTAGTTTGGGTTGTGAATTTCAGAAGTTCCCGATGGTGTGAATTCCAGAAAAAAGTTTGGCATAGGAATAAGAGCATCACTTGGATGGAGTGCATAGAACAGAACTGCCATTACAAAGCAGTGAGAGATGTACATCTTGAAGGCTGGGTGAGAACATGGAATATAATTGGCAATACATGAGATAACATATCTTGCATCTCTGCAATGAACTCCAGTGTCAAGGATGCTGCATTGCATATCTTTATTTTGGGTTTAGGTTGACATAAGATATTTGGTAGGGTACATTATATAAGTTGCTCCTCTTTCATTATATAAGTTTTCCCCTCATTGATTAGTAATAGTAGCCTGGTATGGTATGCAATTGATAGAAGCCTACTGTGCTTTCTAACAAGAATCTGATCATTTTAAATATCTTCTTTTGTAATAAAATGTTTTTCCTCCTGCTAAAGATTAATTTAGAGGCTGGCCTCTTTCCCTAATCCGGTGAGTCTCCCTAAACTCAAGGATGTTCTTTCTTTTTCCAAGACACAGTTTCTGTGTTTTATAAACATATGTGCACATTTTGACATATACACACATTTTGATGGGATTTTGGAAGCACTAATGAGTTTGTTTCCCCTGGCTTTGGATGGTTGGCTGGGAAAATCAAGAAAAGTGGAGAGTGTGAATGTTGTGTATGAACTATATGTTAAGGTTATCTCAGATGTTGCTGAGTGATATTTGCTGAACTCCTCTCCTTTCCTCCCCCTCCCCCTTCCCTAGTCCTGTAAGAAAATGATAAAATATTTGAAAATGATGAATCTGACAGCTTCAAATGATCTTCTTTCCTCTTCTTCTTTACCCTTTATTGTTTTACCTTGCTTGGCTATTTCTGTAATGTACAATGGGTGTCCTGCTAAGATGGATTGGCTGTTATTGTTAGATATTAAACCCTTCCTAACATCATCAAACCCCTATAACTAATGGGAAGTTTTCATGTCTATTAAGATTTGCTCTTAAACTTTATTGAAGTGTTTGCTCACATGGACAAAGATTCAAATTAAATAGCTTTAGTGTAACATTCCCAAACAGTAAGGTTGCTATTCCTTTTCCTTGGTGATTTATTGACTTAAAAGATCAAAGGCTTGACAATGGAAAGCATTTGTATGGACAGTCTTTTGTTCTAGACTAGAAGCTTTTGCTAGGCATATTATTTGTAAAGAATTTTCAGACGTCTATATCTAAAGAGTTGGACAGTTCCTAATGTAACTTGGGGCAATTCCATTTTTGTATTGTGATGGAAGATAAGGAAAAACACACAGGGATCATGAAAACAGTTTAAATTCCATTGGGTTCTTCCCACAACAGGAATATCAATTATATCAACAACCAGCCTACATCTAACACCAAATCTAAGGAACAAGAGCAATGTATCTATGAAGCTATGGAAAAGGGAGGAATCAACTCCTTTAAGTGCTTATTTAGTGAATGTAAAGAAAAGGAGTAGGGGGGAAATGATAGCACTTTTCCAGCATTTGAAGGGCTACCACAAAGAAGAGTTGGTCAACTTATTTTCTAAAGCACCAGACAACAGGATAACAAACAATGAATGGAAACTAATCAAGGCAAGAAAAGCAACCTGGAATTAAGGAGAAACTTCCTAACAGTGAGGACCATTAACCAATGGAACAACTTGCCTTCAGAAGTTGTAGGTGCTTCATCCTTGGAGGTTTGTAAGAAGAGACTGAACAGCCACTTGTCTGCAATGGTCTCCTGCTTGCCCTGGGTGTGTGTGTTGAACTAATGAATCCAAGATCCATTCCAGCTCTATTCCGACTTAAAAATGGCCTCATTCTAGAATCAAGATTCTTATCAAGCCAAACTATGTTTCTAGTATCTGGAAAGCTTCTGTGTTTGAACTAGAGAGGTTGACAAAAACATTAAGAAGGTAGCTGATCTCTGTATCCTATGTAAAATACTGTTCGGATATTTGATCAATTAAAATTATATCTGACAGCATTTCAGCAATATGATCAGTATTTGACAAATATTTCTGGGAAATTACTTTCATTCTCCCCCCTGCCCTTTAATTGCATAAATTTTGATATTTTATTGTTTATGGTTATCAAATGAACTATCCTCATTTTCATAGATTTAAAATCATCACCAGAATCACAAGCTTTGGGTAAGTTGATTTAATGTTTTTTACCCCAATGAAACAAACAACTTGGATTGTTTTAGATTACTTTCTCTACTTTGTCATTCATTACTAGACTTCCCTTCATGCTGTATTCCTAATAACTTTAGTTGTATGCAGAATTACTGTATAATGGGCAATACAGACAAATGGAGGATAAACAGCTGAAACAACCAAATTATCATTTTACAGATTCTATTGGAGAAAACTTCCCTTTGTTTTTCCACTTATGGAAGAGTAGTGATAAATATTTTATTATTACTGAATATGCATCCTATAGATAAATTGTTTATTGTGATAACAATGTCAGTCTACTTACCAAAGAATCTCAGTGAAAAACATACCCATATTTATAAAAGCAGAATCAACTAATACAAAAGTTCTTTTTGCTGAGTTTATGAAGATGAAGATGTAGAATATGTCTGATCTTCCATCAAACTGATATGCAGGTAAAATGGAATCTATACACATTTATACACAAATTTCTGCATAGGGAAATATAATCAAGAAATTATTTTATAGAATTGTATTGCAGATACATTGAGAGAAGTACAGCCTTTAGTGACACTATTCAGTTGAATTGAACATTTATACCCATAAACATTATGACTAGCCTGACCCCCAAACCAAGCAAACTGACACATGCCATGAACACATAGCCAGGCCTCAAACTCGGAGCCAAACCAAAACCCGGAACATCACATCACATCACAGCCACCTGCTCAGGATATCACATCACGGAACTCAGGAAGTTACACCACAAAACCTCAGGATGTTACAACACAGCCAATGACCCAGGAGATTACAGCACAAGACCCAGAATGTCACAACAGTAGAACTCAGAAGGTCATCACACAGCCCATTACCCAGGTCATTACAACACAGGAGGCTGATAGACACACAGCCAATACCTCAGCCACACATGTTCTTATGAAAAAGTCAGCCAATCTGCAAACATCAACTCCATCAACCAATCAAGAAATGACAATACAGCCAACCTCCCCACCAGTATTTATAGAGAGACGGCAGCTCCGATCATGCTTTGCTTGCACAAGCACGAAGCCGAAACCACCAACCTGAAGATGGCGAGTGGGACCTCGTCGAAATGTCACCAAAATACTCTCAAACTTACACAGGAAAAGACCCAAACACGCCAAGACCTGCATACCTGTACCCCTGAAAATCTACAAAAACAAATATATATATATATAGATTATTTTTAGGGGTTTTGTATAACTAAATTCAACAATTTTTGCTGACATTTTAAAAAGAATTTGCTGAAGTTGTTGTAATTGGATTTCTTGCTTTTGTCTTCCACTTTCAACATTAAAAAATGGATTCATTCATAACTTATCATCCTGACTGCCTCATCCTATTTCTCTAAGTATTCAGGCTCTTCTAGAGAAGTTCAAAGAACAAAATAGCAAAATACAGATTAGAAAAATACAGAAAATAAATCAGAAAGGCAATAAAATTGCAAGAAATAATAAAACACTAGAGTACAAAAAAGTGCTATGAATTATGAAATAAACCAGCTAATCAAAATTCAAGCTAGCAGGATCATAGAGACATATGTGATTCATTCCTAGCTTGGTGATTCATATTTCCTTCACAAGATGCTTACTTGAAAATTAGTACTTTACTTTCTCTGAATATGTGGAAAAGTCTCTTGAATTGTGGCTAAAGATTAAAGACAGACAAATAGATTATTAATTTTCTTATACCAGAAGTCAAAATACCTCTACCTCAAACTCAAAGGTATCCCAGAAGTATAACATTTATACCAGAAGTCAAAATACCTCTAAGTCAAAGTCATCTTCTGGATATATTTATACAATTTTCTCAGGGGTGGGATTCAATTTTTTTAACAATCGGTTCTGTGGGCATGGCTTAGGTGGTGGGTGTGGCTTGGTGGTCATGTGACTGGGTGGACATGGCTTGGTGCTCATGTTATTGGCTGGATGTGGCCAACTCAATATCACTCACATCAAGGCACGCATCTCCTTGCCTGCCCTCTCAAGACTATGGGGATGCTGCAACAGTTGTAAGTGTGAAAAATGGTCAAAAGTCACTTTTTTCAGTGCCATTGTAACTTTGAATGGTCTCTCCACACAAGCAAACTACCAGCAAAGGAAGGGAAAAAAACCTCCAGAGACGTTCCAGAGACGGGAAGTCTAGTCCTGCCAAGAATGTAATAAGGGTTAACTATCTGAATCGGATTATGATCTGCCCATTCGTTAGGTAAAATTTCAATCTCTTTTAACTCATTTGCTAGCTCACCATTCATCCACACAATATCAATTCATCTCCATGATTGGTGTGGGTTGGAATAAAATGTAAATTGCTTTTTCTCCGGGTTTAATTTTCTCCACATATTTATCAAATTTAGTTCAGTCATCATTTCCTCACATGTTTTCGGTACTTCTCTCTTTTTCCTCCCCCCCCACTACTGTGATCTTTCTGATGGTCCACAATGGCATTGAAGTCCCCCAAGATACAAATATTCCTTTTTTCTAATCCCACTATTTTTTCATGTAATTGTTTAAAAAATTATTTTTGATTATCGTTAGGGGCATAAATAGAATTAATAGAATTGGGGTTGACTTAATCCAAATTTGTAAAACCAGAATTCTTCCGTTGGAATCTGTCCAAATTAGCTCTGCTTTCATATCCTCTTTCACATATACTGCTATCCCTTTCTTTTTCCTGAAGTCTGCTGGTGACGTAAACAGATTCCCTAGCTTGGAGCATTCTAAATATTTTTCATCTACCTTCCTTATGTGGGTTTCTTGTAAACATTTTATATCTGCATTTTTTAACATTAGTTTAGTTAGAATTTTTTGTTTAATTAGTTTTTATCCTAGAATTCAGGCCATTTATATTAACTGATAATATTTTCTTTTCCTCGTCCGTTATCTAATTGATTCTTGCTCTTTGTCTTGTAGTTACTCCTGTCTCTTTTTGTAGCTGATAACGTGTCCTCGGTTCTTCTCTCTCTTGTTGTTGTAGTATATTTTTTGAATTCCTGGGATTTCTATCTCTACTCTTTTGGTAGTCCTGGTTGTCTTGCGAGTTCATCTTTACTACTCATTCTTCCGGGCCTACCAATCGTTCATAGAATTCTTGGGCTTTTTCCATGGACTCTACTCTAATTTTCCTTTCTTCCCATGAGATTAACATCCCTTCTGGGATTACCCATCTAAATACAATGCCTTTTTGGTTTAATTGGTTCACCAAAAATTTATAGTCTTGCCTTTGCTGTCTCACTCTTCTTGGGATTTGTTTGAGCACCAAGACTTCTTTTCCTTTATATGTAATTGTTTCTTCTGTAATTGTTTCTGGAGATTTTGTATATTACATCCCTTTCTTCTGGCAAATCTTACGTGAACCTCTTTTGGGTGTTTATGACGTCTTGCATAATTTGTACTCACTCTATAGACTTCGTCCAGCTCTTTCAGAATATCATCCTTATCTTTTTCCAACAATTCTGCTAATATTTCTTCTATCACTTGTTCCAAATCCTCTTCTTTTGATTCCACTGTATTCTGGAATCTCAAATATGCTGCGGCCTTGTCCATTTCCAGATAGACCAGGGAATCATCCATTTCTTTGCTCAGATTTCTTAGTTGTTCACCAAGCTGTTTACTTCCTCACTTCCGATCTTCCCCCGGTCTCAGATTTGTTAGTCCAATCTTCCCAGAGTCCCCAAACCAAATCTCTCACACTTCCCAAAAACTAAACTCGTTGCTCTCCCCGCCCCCGGTTATTGTCAGTTACACAAGCCTCTCCGATTTTCTTATCTTCTCTGTCCGATCACTCGTGTCCTTACCCTCTTCCGTCTCATGAGCCCTTTCGCTGTCACTACCGCTCGTATCCGCTTTGGCCACTGCTTTTGGGCTTCACTTCAACTGATTTTCTCCAATGCTCAATCAAGATCGCAGATTCCTTCACTCGCAGTCCTCATTCACCACAATCTGTCATTCACTTGCTTCCTCTTATATATAACGATCCGGACTTCAGGACCACCATTACTGGATGGTGGTTTCTTGTTATCGGTCTGTACAGGGTCTCTACGTCGCGATGAGAGTCGCCTTCTCCACACCACAACTTGAGCCTCCCCACACTGGCACGTTTTTCTGCAGGATGCGTGCACCCCTAAGGGTCGCTCCAATAGCAAGAAAAGGTAGCATAAAACCCGGAGCGAGCTTCAGCACCTCCACTCATCCATACCTCATCACCGGAAGTCTTTTTGAACTCTTTGTTTCAATGGACCAACATTTGCCATCTATATTCTTGTCTTGTTTATGAAGAAATTCTGGACATTGGATAATTTTGAATTTATAAAAATTGAGCAAATAAAATGAATATCTGAAATATATATTGGTATATGAAAAAGCTATACACATTATGAGAAATTTTCAGTAGTTGAACTATAACAAAAGGAGATGAAGAATTGGGGTTTCTTCTTCTCAACTGAAGGAACTGAAATGTGAAGAAAATGATTAAAGGACAAGAAAGAAATGTTATTGAAGAAATAATCCACAATAACAGTATTATATTTGAAGAAAGAAAGATCAGGAAAGTAAGAGGAAAAATATCAGAAATAAATGGGGAATGAGCACAGGGGTCTTCAGGAATACATATGTCAGAATGTCAAGATAGCCCCTAGGTGTGTATCCCATGGAGCAAATAATCCAAGACTTTAGTTTTAGGTCTATTTTAAGCCATTAAAACAACATATTGAATATTAAATTCAATTGCTAAGAAGCTAGCTAAAGATTCTGTTGCTCTGTTCAGTAGGTCAATTGCACTTCTTGTCTGAACTGACACCCAACTATAAGCATTCTGGTTAAGTGTTTCAAATGAAGCTGTAACAATTACACATTGGCCACTTTGTTCTATATTAATATATTGTGAAATGAGTTCCATTTTTTCTTCAATAATTTGAAGAATTTTTATAATGGCTTCTGAATATGTCATTTGTGTAATTACAGAGTATATTTTAGTCATATTGTGAACAAGGAAGCAGCTATAATTATGTGCACCTGAAGCTTCTTGTAGATACAAATTATGGCTATATCATAAAATTGGCTACAGGCTGTCAAAGTATTTTGGGCTGCTAGGTTAATTAATACAGGTCAGCAAACCTTTTGAACCACAATTCAGAGTCAAGATCTGAAATACACTGTATACAAATGAACCTGGAAATTATAGCAGTCATTCAAAGCTTCAGTATTTTAAAAGTTGCAGACATTTATGAAAACAAATGTATAATATTTTTAATATGTTTGTGTAGCAATATTATATGTCTACTTTTGTAACAGTTGAAGGCAATTTAATGTCTGGTCTATTTGGAAACCATATACAGTATAACAATAGTGTGAGAATTTTTTAAAAAATGTACTTGTAGAATGTCTAGATCTTTAAAAACCAATTCTGATTTTAAGCTGTGTCTGTCATATAGATTGACGGATGTAAAGAGGATTGGTTTTTGAAAATCTAGACCTTCTAAAGTTAGTTCTATTGTAAATAGAGATTTTACAAGTGCATCTCTTCTCTTTCTTTTGCTGCATAACTTTTTGATGTATTGTGCCATGTTGCACATGAATCTGACCATAGTATGGGAAGTTGCCATGCCAACCCTCAGTACCTATTCAATATGTTGTATTGAAACCACTTGGAACTTTGGGAAACAACCCAGCAACTTCTGTGTGCCAAAAGATATATACAAGAATGATGAAAAAAATCCCAATGTTGTCAAAGGAATACTTGGGACAGTCATAATAACATGTGCTTATCCCATTTTTTGCTCATGAAGAAGAACCTAATATATTGTCCAAAGTAATCCATGAGTATGCAGGGTAGAAAAATGGAATTTAGAGGCAGAATATTTTTTGATATTTATCATAGTCCCACCTTCTCCACTTGCAATGAGGCCTTTTTGATACTGTTTCTAAGCTAAGTCACTCCCTCCAATGATTTCCTGATACCAAGGGAATCTAGAGCTTTCAATCTTATAAGTAATAATGAGGAAGAATGAAGACAAACCACATTTTATGCTGAGGAAGTTTCTTTTTTCTCTTTCCTTTTTATCAATGGTTACTTCCTTTCATCAGAGATAAGTTAATAAACTTTTAGGTAGAATGCTCTTGAAAGAGACATGTTCTTTAACTCTCTGAAATAGGTGTTTTCTGTTTTTGAATTAATTATATTAACTATATAAATTTACAGGAAAGGTCAAAAGTCCGATCACAATTAGAATGAGGTAAAGGGATGATACCATAGTTAGTTTTTTATGGTGGCATTAAAAAAGCGCATGACTTAGAAGACTATAGGTCTTTCACTTGTAGAAAAATGTGGAGTCCTTAACTGTCTTTCTATCAGCTGTGAACTTTAGCAGTTTCAGTGATTCTGCTCTTTTAAAGGTAGAACTGGGAGGGCCCTTTGTAACTGAGCGACAACCAAAAGACTATATTGTAGTTCAAGTTGGACAAATAGAAGACTCCAGTCCTAAAAGGAGACGTCAACAGCAAGTAAGACTTTAAACATTTGAATCGTCTCCCCACTTTTACAGATCTGCTCTTAGTCCTATCAGGCAATATGGGAAGAATCAAAAGTCCTATGGATCTTGAAAGAAAGATGCAGAAGATTCTAGAGCAGTGATGGCTAACCTTTTCGGCATCGAGTGCCCAAAGTGTGCACGTACATAACCAAAATGCAATACGCACGCATACCCTGTGCATGCGCCCCACTCCCATGCATATGCCCTCCCCCATGCATGTGTATACACCCCATGCATGCACTCCACTGCACATGCGTCTGAATTGCTCAAAATTTCCGCTACCAGTTCTTCACAACTGGTCAGAACCTGCTAAATACCACTTCTGCTAAAGCAGATTTCAACATGAGAATTGTATTAACAAGGCAAATGGCCCAAGAATGTTTATTTGTGTGCCGTGTCATCTTAATTATTTCTTTCCAACTGGTTATCAGGTATAGGAGCAGAGGCCTGCAGTTTAAAAGTATCTGAAAACATGTACATCTTTTCTTTCTCTCACACTAAAAGTTGAGGTGGCATATATGGAAACTTTTCCATTTCACTAGTAAACAAAGACATTAGAACAGGTCTGGATGATAGAATGTCGAAGACATAGTGTTCAATGTTTGAATTTATAAGGTTAATTGCTTAGTTTACATAGACGAGCAAGAAAGGAGATCAGCAGGCATAGTTATAAGGCAGTAATAATCTGGGGAGCTTCCAAGTATAGGTAATTTCAGTATAATTACAGCCAACTTCAATTAGACATTTTGCATCTCTCTGTTTTCTACAATATACCAATACCCTTTTTTTAAATAAAAAAAATCCCAGCCATCTTCTGTCTCTGGGCAACATTTATTATATGAATATGTATTAAATACATGCATATGTTTTGCCCATACAGTGAGGGCAGGCAGAGGGTGTGATCTAGTCTTTTCTTCCCAACAAAAAGTAGAGAAAAGGAGGATAAAAGCAAGCTAGTTTAGAGCATTTTTTCCTAAACACCCCCTTCCCCCACACTTTAAAACAAACAGAAAACCATGGGTTTAATGTACACCATTCTAATTTGATCCCCTGATGCACTGATTCTTTATCCTTAATGGGTTCACACCCAATAGAATATAATTCCTGTTACTTCCATTGATCAACTGGCCATCTTGAGCTATTAGCTTAATTAAGGAATGACTCTCGCCCAATTTACTGTATATAGTACTGGTTTTTAAGATATCTATATGCCAATATGCCTAGAGTCGCTTCTATCCAATTAGCAACTGGAATTGGTGTAAAGGTAATAAAACTTATTAAACTTCTTAATTCTTTCTTTTTTGCAGATATTACATAATTGGACTCTTGCATTAAATGTGAAGAAAAATGAGCAAGTTATTGTGACTAGAATCTTCGAGACAATTAATAGGTTGGTTTATGAATTCAATGAAACCCACTGAAAAAATATTTTATATTTAATAATTATTTATTAAATATTTTCCTCATTGCCTAAACATTTCATTCTTCAGGTGGCATAATAACAGATAGCAAAACCATTTTATGAGTGGTTACACTGATGTGTGTTTTACAGGTAGTCCTCATGTAGTGACTATAGTTCCAATGAAATAGTTGCTAAGTGATATGGTTGCTGATAAAACCGTGTCACTTGGGAGTGGGAGCAACAAAGAGATTCTAAATGCTGCTGTCTCATTCTGATAAAGTTTTCTTATACAGCACCTTGAACCCGACCCAATTTTCTTCTTTCCTTTTTTGCCCTCATGGAGTGAAGAAATTATTTAAACAGGCTGTGTCTTCTGAGCTATTTTTCTCTGCAGCTGTTTCTTTAAAAAGTGCTCACCATAAGTTAACAAGCTCATCTCTGCAACCCTAATTAGTTGATTAAAACCCTCTGGCTGGCTCCCTGCTGCCCAGAATTGACCAAACTTTAATCAATTTCATATTGAAGGCCTGCTTTTGTCATATACGCAGACATAGGTTGCAAAGTTCCTTTTTCAACACTGTTTTAATTGTGAATGGCCACTATCGGAGGCCATTGCTGAAGGAGGACTTTCTGTATATCCTTGTATCTAAATATCTCTTTTCAGAATTTCTTTTTTTTTGGCTGGTTATGAAAATGACCTAAAAAGATCTCAATAATTTGAAATATTCTAAATCATTATATATTGAAACAAGAATAATATCAGCAAGAGAAATAGCATACAATTAGTAATGCTTAAAACCTTTAGCAGTATGAACTTGTGGTCATTTTTACTCCAGCTATCAAATAGAATTTTAAAATTTCTTTCAACAGAAGAGAAACCTCCCTAAGAATCCAGGCATTTCTTCAGGAATCAGAAATCATTCCTCTTTCTATGACACATCAGTATCTTCATGCAAATATAGAGGCTCAAGTCACAATAGCTTCTGTCATTTTAGCAGGTGTTTATGTTCTGATTGTGTTTGAGGTAAGAATAATCATTTTATTCAAGGGAAATAGAAACAGAATTGTTTTTGTCAGTTAATATACTAACCTAAAATTGGAATAAGAATCAGTGCATTTCAGTTAAGTACATCTACAAGCCTCCATCAATTTCGGTATCTTTTCATTTGATTTTTTTTCATTGATTTTCACTAACTTTCCATTCTATTTTAAACCCTCTGTTTCTGTGAAGTTGAAAACCAATCATAACATAGATCTCCATGATAAAGTAGACTTAGTTTTTTTTTAAAAAAAAGATCACTTGGAACTCTGATCAATCCCATCAACCCTTCATAGGAACAAAGTAATTAAACAGGAAGTGCTTAACATTCTGATTGCTAGTAATCACACTGGAAGCTATTTTGGTCTTTTTGGTCAGAAAGATGCCAGGCTGGTATGAGGAATCTGTGATAAAAATAAAGGGGAAAAAACCCCATCCATTTTATGTCTCCTTCCCCCAAATCTCATAATACACAATTATAATACTCTTGTGCCTGCATAAAACTTGGAACAGAAGTAGCATAATATAGTTTGACTGCTAAGCACTGAGGCAGAACCAGAGAGCCTAATCTATGAGCAACCTACCAATCATATGTCATTTCAGTCCAGTGGTGGGATTCAAATGTTGTTACTACCAGTTCTGTGGGCATGGCTTGGTGGGTGTAGCAGGGGAAGGATACTGTAAAATCTCCAGTCAGAGGTGGTATTTGCTGGTTCTCTGAACTACTCAAAATTTATGCTACCAGTTCTCCAGAACTGGTCAGAACCTTCTGAATACCATCTCTGTTTCAGTTCCTTCTTTTCAACTCCTGACCCCCAACAAGATTTTTTGGTTGGTGCCTTTGAGTCAGCATTGATTCCTCGCATTTTCTTGGGTAGATGTCAGAAGTGGATATGCCTTTGCCTGTTTCTTAAGGTTGAGATAGATTACTGGCCCTGGGTCACCCAGCTGGCTTTCAGGCTGCTTAATTTTACCAAAATTAATGAGCCTCAGTGGTGCAGTGGTTAAAATACAGTGCTGCAGGCTACTTCTGCTGATCACCAGCTGCCAGCAGTTTGGCAGTTTGATTCTCACTGGCTCAAGGTTGATTCAGCCTTCCATCCTTCCAAGGTGGGTAAGATGAGGACCTAGATTGTTGGAGGCAATATGCTGATTCTGTAAAACTTAGAGAGGGCTATAAAGCATTATAAAGCAGTATACAAATCTAAGTGCTATTGCTATTGCTATAAAATCCCCTCCAGTAATGGTTATGCTATTTTCCATGAAGAGGCTAAAAGAAATACTATGGTTGTTCCACTAATCTACTGTCTTCCCATGGAAAAGTGTGATAAATCCCAGTGTGGCTGCATGGTGACATCAGTATCATATCTCTGGTGGTTCTTGGTAAGGTGAACAAAAATTAAAAAACAAATATAGACCTCTGCCAATTAATGGAGTTGTGATATGAAGGGTTTGAAACACAGCCTTGTTACTAAGCCCATTATGAAGAGAAGTAGTAGTAAAACTTTTGCATCAGACAGCTACTAAATATACGCCTGGAGATACAATTCTTGAATAGCTTGGGAAATAGTGTAGTGCTTTGAGGTCGTTCTCCTTTACTTTGATCAGTTGTTTGGAAACATATTACCTGATTCCTTATTTCCCCCCCTTTTTAGGCACTATTGGAGCTACAAAGGAGTTGCAGTTAATAGTTATAATCTTCCATGTTAGGTTTTTTTTCCCTTCACAGCAACGTTTATTTCACAGAGCAGTAATTGATATTTTTTTAAAATAGTTCAATTTCCACTATATTTTTGAAGACCATACCTTCTCTCATCAATAGATATAAGATTTTTATGTCTCTTTAAAATATGATAAAAAGTGGCTTGGGCTGAAAATTAAGATTGTATTTAAACACTGGGTGGCACTGCTTGCTACTCTAAATCGTAGCAATTGTTCTGATTTTTGTGATGCTTTCTCACAGAGAGAAAATGCTTTTGGACCAGCATCAGGAGGGTGCCACTCCATCCCCTTAATGGAAAAAAACCCTCAACTTTCAAGTGCACCTACTTTTTCATATTTTCTCCTGCTTCCTAACGTTCAGATTGAATAGTGCCACTGTTTAATAGGAGTGACGTACATTTCCCATCTTATAGGTTATTTGTATTTTCTTTCTTTGGTGGCGTTGTGTTGGGTAAATTGAATGTTACAATGCCATGGTCAGTGAGCCCAAGACACTGAGGGAAAGACAAAACAAAAAAAAGCTTTTAATGTTGAACAAGTTACAACAACAGTTTTCCACTTTTCTGTGCATGTGTGTGCATAAATACTGTATATGCAGAAAACATGATTTCAAAAGGAATGAGTTGGTCAAAGAGACAATGCCCCCATAATGCTTAAACATACAAAAAAAAAATACTGAACTGGAGAAAATGAGGCTTTAAAGGAAGCAGGCTTTTAAGGAAAGATTGGCTTGTTTATTTTTTTTAAATAAGAACTATTTTGCATCTGTTATTGCTCATCAGGATCCACAGTATTTCAGGGAAAGCGACAAAAATAGAGCAGTTTAATGATATGAGCAAATTAAATACAGATGTTTATCCTTTTGAAGTTCTATGCGGTTTGCTAATGTATTCTTATTTGGTGCAGTAGGAACTTGGATTTTGGTAAAAGTATGGAGATCTCAATCATCAAGGTACAAAAGTTATGTGTCATTTCTCAGGAAGTTCTTTTAATTTTCCTCAGTTCTTCTGATTAAATTATAAATTGGAACTTGAACAAGTTTCCTCCTCTTCCTCTCCATTACCTGCAAGAATCCCCAGCTGAGGTTTGATCCAGAAATGATAATGATAGCTCAACTACCCTTGCCCAAAATATATCAAAAGTCAAATTCAGTGTTATTTACTCCACATGTATATGCAGGACAATATAATTTTGTTTGATCCTTTTTCCCCTCAAAGTTAAACATAAGTAGTTTCTTCAAGGCCCTTCACTCTCATTGCCATTTCTGTTCGACTACATCTGAATATTTCTAAAGTTGTGGTATTTACAAAATAGAAATGGTATTTGATGTGGCTCTGACCATCATTGAAGATAGTAGAGATATATTGCTTTATATGATGTCATAGCTATAGATTAATAATTGTAGCCTAAAGTAGCCCTTGCCTATCTTTGCATTTGTTTCACTCTACTGACTCAAAAACATTTTATTGTGAAGTACAGTTTATTATGAATGTTATTTTGCACCCTCAGGAAAGGAGTTTATTATTTATATACATTGATTTTTAAATACGTGGTGAAGCTCAAATACTTAGTTAACTGTTGGAGTGTATATACTGAATTACATACTTCTGTATCTGTATTAACCTGGATCCATCAACCCTTCAATAAATTGCAGTGCATTCTCTAACAATTCATTTGTTCAAGGGATGTGGGGATATTTTTAGCTTCTAGGCAGCATGGTGGCAGTTTCATTTTATTTACATTGGTTCTCATCTTTATTACCCAGGATTACAAAAATCCTGATTTAGTGGACTTCAACACAATAGACTTCAGATGCAGCAAGTGAAATTTTTGTTGTATTTATGCCATTTAAAATCATTTATATAATGAAATTGTTACAAAAATGCTGCAAATAATATCACTAAACTCTGAGATTATAACATCAGAGAAAAAATGTAAACATGCAAATGGATGGAATACTTTCTGATTTAATGGCCAGTCATGAATAACGGACAACACTTTCCCAGAACTGGTCTGTTAAATCAAGGTTTCCCTCTATAAGGAAGTGTCTCTAGGTTACGTAATGATTTTGAACAAGAAGTTACTTCAAAAGTACTCTATTTCCTAAATCACCCCAGGAGAACAGTGAGCAGCCAATGCTTCTTCTTAAATATCTGTCTCTTTTTGCCTTGCTTGTAAATTGACAAAGCTGCTGCTAATACTGTCCTGTAATCGCTAAATGGTTTAATCTCCCATCAAATCTATTTTCCACTGATCTGATTGATCATCAACATTATCATGGGGAATAATGTGAGAATTGGTGCTATCTGCACTGAGATATACAGATATATCATGTCCTAAGTTGTTCAAATTCAGAGAATGAATGCCCATCTTGTGTACTAGGTTTATTTTAACTGCCATGCAGGTACTCACTCTTTATTTGTCACTATGAGAATGCTGTGGCCATTTGACATTTTTTGATTGGTGAAAGACATGCTTTTAAAATGACAGCAAAAGCAGTGGCTGATAACCTGAGGGCAAGTACAGAGATAACTGGGTGGAACAATCTAGTTGACTGGCTGAGTGGTGGGTGTACAAGGGAGGTTGATAGCATACAGAATAAGCTAGTTGGGTAGCTTTGCCAGAGGCTGTTAAATTTCAGTGTTTTACTGTGTGCATGGATGTAGGTGAAAAGTGATTAATAATAAAGAATGATGATTGAAGAGAGAATGAGAAACCATATGTAAGAGAAAATGGATGAACGAGAGACTGAATAGAAAATGGCTAAGGAAGAGAAGGAATGTCCAATTTTGCTTTGGCCTTGTTGGTTTCCCCAATGTCATAAGGAAATAGAAATTCAAAAGGAATATATACCTTTAACCAAACCACTGATTAACACAAACTATTCTGAAGTATTATATAATCCCAGATTATGTAATATTTGAGTACTATATGGGTTGGCCCAAAATATTTCCAGAGCCACCTTCTTAGCAGGAATTGTTCCATTCAATAGGCTCATTTTTCAAGATGTTCTTGGTAATTTCCCACTTTAGTGAGACAAGGCGGTGTGGGTGTTAAAGGTCAGATAGTATAACTTTTCCATTATGCCACTGATATTATAGAATATAACAGCTTTTACCTGGAAATCAGATTTCCCCATTACTATTTACTTTCCAGACAGTAGATATCAAAGTCATATGGAGAGTTTTTTTCATGGTTGCTTAAATAATGTTGTGCATTGTTCTGGTGCTTTACTGTTTTTATTTTTATGAACAGTTTTTACT